CGGCAGAGGCCCAGCGCAACCCCACCTTGCGCCTGGCACTCCCTGGGGCTCTTACAGGTATCAACGAATTTAATGCTCTCGACCGCCCCAGGAAGACGGCTCCGTCATTTCCCCCATTTTACAGATGAGAACCAGGGAAGGACAGGCTGCTGCGAGGCCGCCGCTTCCCTTTGTGCGCCCTCGGCCAGTCCTTCCGCCCCTCCGCCCCCACCAGGAGCCCTGCCCTTGACTTTCTTAGAGGCAGTCTTGCAGGGTGATTTTTAGATCTAGCCGCTGGGGAAACACCTACCACACGTGTAGAGTCCAAGGCCCAAGGGAACTGATTGAGCGGGACCGGGACCGGGCCTGGGCATGTGCATGTTTCACCGACAAGCCAGGGGATTCTGATGAAGGTTGAAGGAGTGTTTCTTCTATCCAGTTCCCTTTAGCAGTTAGGGACCTATGGGGGAGGGGGGCGGCGGCAAATAATCCAGCAACACGGGATCTGCTTCTCAGCTTACTCGCCTTGTTTCTCAGAGGTTTCACATATACTAGGAGAAAACTTTGTCTACACTGGCGGGGCCACTCCCGGCCACCCTTCTGAACCCCCAGGGAACGCTTCAACAATGCTTTTTCTAACTCCCTAAAACCGTGTATCTGTCAATCTTCTCTGAGTCATCTCCCCAGCAACCCACAACACATTTTTAAACCCAGCTTGACTTCCCTTTTTTGGCCTGAGTAACTGAATTGCTGTCTATGTGTGTCTGATGAAGGAAACTATCTGCCCTTGCAAAATATAATAGAAGGCGGCAGCAAGATACTGACCCCAATCACATAATATATTCAAAAGTCAGCTGTGTCCAATTCTGAATTACCCATTTGGGATTGCCCCTGTTTCTACTTCCCCTCCAGCTAAACCAATCATGCTTTCTAGTTCTGCACTTAGCAGGCCAAGCTCCTGAAACACATATTGACCATATCAATCCTGCTGTACCCCCAGTTGTTGTTTTTTTCCCCTAAAATATTTAAAGTTGTCTGTGCAGCAATTGCTTTTATCCTTTGGTGAGCATCAATGTTAGAACTTCATCAAAGATGAAAACGTTGGATTTTGAAAAAGAATGGTATTGGTTTTAAGCAAACGCAGTTTGCAGATGGTCCAGGGCTTAGGGTGACTCTGCTTACAATTTTCCAACTTTATGGTGGTGAGAAAATGGTATGCATTCATTAGAAACCATACTTTGAATTTGAAATTTCAACCTTACCTTTGGCGCATGATATGCAGGTATGATATTCTCTCATGATGTGGTACAGCGAAACCCAACTCTGGTCACCAGCGATCACAAGGGTAAACAACCCATGATCGACAGTGTACTGAGTGGCCAGGTGATTCCACCCTATTGTAGGTTCATGGAGTATTATGAACATGTTCTTCGTAGGCTAGGCTGAGCTGTGATGTTCCGTAGGTCAGGCGTATTCGATGCATTTTTGACTTATGATAATTTCAACTCAAAGACGGGTTTCTTAGGATGCAATCCCCTCCTAAGTGAAGAAGCATCTGCACTCAAGCAGGTAGTGTGCGCTATGAGGCCCTTCAAAATCTGTTTGGGGTAGTCAAATAAAGGACTCTGATGTGGAACAGTTTTCTTTTGCTTGCTTGGGTTGGTCAGTATGTTAAAGGACATGTGTGCAGTGATGAAAGAATGATTCTACAAAAAAAAAAAATGTTTACTGGTATTTTCCTGTATTTATAGGTATAGGAAGAATGCCTATCTTTTCGCCTATTACTTAATCCAGTTCTGTGGCCACTCATGGATATTTACAAATATGACAGTCCGATTCTTTTCATTTGGAAAAGGTAACACTCCAAAACTGACTTTTAATATTTGTTTTCACCTAGTCCTGCTTATATTAAACGTCTATGAACCTCACCTAACATCCTTCGCTTCTCTAAAATTTGTAATTTATATTTTCTAGTAACCATGCTTCTTGCTTATTGCAAAAACCAAAACCTTTTTGGGGAAAGGGGAAGGTGAGATAAGGGAATGGGGTCTGATGTGGCTCCTTTCTGAATAAGCAGAAAACAGACATGGCGTTGGGGCAGTGACATTTCATTGTTGCTTTTCAGTTCTGCACCAAACCTGAGCAGATCTGTTGAGTTTTGAGGACATTTGTAAATTCCAGTATAACATTTTATGCAGAGAAATCAGAAAGTAATCAACTTCTTCTAGTGTTTTTTTTTTTTTTTTTTTTTTTTTTATCCCCCAGGTTTAGGGCAACTGCAGACGACTAGTAAGTGAAGTACAAACTCTGTATTCACCCGGCCTCTCTTTGGTCCCCTTCAGGAATAATGTGTAAATGATACACTTTGTAGATGACTAACCACTTTTAGGGGAATTGGCATTCATGGGTTTAAGTCATAAACTTCCTCCGGTTTCCTAAAGCATAAAGACACTTTAAGGATTTCAAATTTTAAATAATGAATCACTCAATGACTGTCAAAATAACATTCTCTTCATGTTCCATCTTCACATGGGTAAGTGTCATCACAGTTTACAGCTGTTGGGTGATTTGACAATTTGAGCAACTGCTGGCTTCAGCTAAAAACAAACATGTAGAATATATCTGGGAAAAGTCATGCTGTGCTCATCAGTTCCGACTTTTGTATCATAAGGAAATTAATCTACTTCTGAGGTATCATAAACTATTTTATGTTGCTTTTTCTTACTGAAAATATACAGATAAAGTCTTATCATTGTCAAGAACCTCCAAAGATACAACCTAAGGCTTGAGTTTCAACTGTTGAGTGTTGAGTCAAGTAGAGGAAAACACCGGTGACGGGAGAACTTCCATTATATTGATAGAAAAAAAAGCCATCAAGCCTAGGCCTTGAAGGTTAGCTGAGCCAGTGTGGACATATCACAGGTTATTCACATGAGACACAAGTTATGTGGCTTTCATGCTGCCTTGCCTTTCCAGGGAAAAAATGTTGCCTCCGTCAGCAGTGTATTTCTTTCTTAATTATGATCCTGCTGTTTTATAGAGGCTACTTATTATTAAAGAGACACAACCGATTCACTTGGAGGCAGACTGAAAACAACTAAGTGGGGGCTCAATACAATTCCTGAATCGATGTGTAAATTACTATATCAGTCCCTCAACAGCAATCGAAAACCCTGAACTTGTGACACCTGCTACCTTCCACCCTCACAGAGCAATATGGTTGGTAAATGCTCGGTTACAGCAAGTGCTGGGCAGGGGATGAGAGCACGGGCCATCTGTGCTTCAGGAATCATCTCTGAAATGGGAAGGATGATAATAGTGTCCACTCATGGAGCGGCCGAGAAGAAAAGCCCTCAGTTAATGCTCAATAACTAGAATGATCTCTAGGCAGTAAAGACAGCAAAAATCTTCCCTAGATGTGTCTAAACATAGCAGGATTTCATTCTAAAATTAAAGCAACTAATTTATCCTGTGTAGAGGCACATTTGTTTCCCATTCATTTCAGCTCTAAGTGCAGTACTTCATTTGAACCCTCTGCAATGCAAATTTCAAAAGTTCTGACCAGGGACCCAAGTTCCAGTGTTAAAATCGAACAACACTAGAAAAGCTCTAACAAAGTACGTATAGGAACTGAATGCTAGACCCACGTGTTGTTTGATATGACATCACTTGCATAAAGCTTCTCTGAAACCATATTTTTTTCCTTGTCTTTGTCGTTTTCTTATTTGTTGAAAAGCTCTGAGCACAGCCGTATCTTCTTCAACAAGTTCTCCTCAGTTTGCACTTGAGGTGGTCTAGATTTCAGCCTGCTACTTTTGTATGGCATTGCTTTACAATCTCCTATGGGGAATGGATACTGTAACTTTGGCCATGTAGCCTTCTTTCTCAAGTTTTTACTTTCTGGAAGAGGTGCAGCTACAGTGTACTACAATATGAAGTGCTTTCTTTGGTTGTCTTGTAGTCTTAGTCATTCAATAGCCTATTTAAATAATTTTTCACATGCACAATGAAAAGAAAGCGAATAATCTCCATTTTATTTCAAAGTGCTGCATACCTTTGAGTTACAATTTAGTTTTTTTCATATGTTTTCTGTACTTTTAATGCACTGGACACAGATTCAATGGTTGACACTTTTTATGCTATTGGACTTGTGATGAGACTTTGCCAATCCATTTCTCTCCTGGAGTTGCTGCACATATATGTTGGCATTGAATCAAACCATCTTCTCCCAAGGCTTTTGCAGGTAGGTTTTAATCACATTATGAATATTATCAAAGAATGTGTTTCATGTTTAACTTTGTTCTATTCATAGTCTCTCTTGACAGCAGTTAAAAAGCCATACCACCTCAATCCTCTCCTTGGAAGAGATTTCATAGTCACTTCCCACCCTCACTATGTCACTGCTTGGGGTAGTATAAGACAATGGAAAGAATAGAAATAGAGCCGTTCAGACTTGAGTTTGATGCCTGGCTCTTCTACTCACCACTGTGGGGTCATATCACCCACACCACTGGGCTGTTAAGGGGAAAAGACACTACACACAATACCTGGCAAAGAGTAGATGATTAAAAAGCAAAACAAAGTTTCCTTCATCACTATCCAGAGAATAGACTACTCTTCAGCCATTTCTTGTTCACTCACCCACTTTTTGTGTTTTAAATTTATTTTAGAGTTGTGGGGTACATGTGAGGATCTGCTATATAAGTAAATTGGATGAAGGTGAAGTTTGGGCTTCTAGCAAGCCTTCTCACCCCCCAGTCATGAACATGGTACCCAGTGGGTATTGTGTTCCTCTCACCTTCTCGTCCTCCCTCCTTTTTGTTAGTAGTGCTCAGCATCTGTTGTCCTTGCCTTTGTGCCAGCATGCTCAATGTTTAGTGTCCACTTATGAATGAGAACATGTAGCATTCAATTTTTTTTTTCTGTGATAGTTCACTTAGAGTGATGGTCTCCGGCTGCATCCATGTTGCTGCAAAATACATGAATTTGTTCTCTATAGTGGTATAGTATTCCATTGCATTCTCCCACTTTTACTAAATACAAATGGAAGAGGAGATCATTTATGTTTATCTAAGCATCAACTTGGGATCACTCAGATGTGGATTCAAATCCCAGTTCTACCTATTACTAGTTGATACATTTAAACAATTCATTTAATCATTCTGAATCTCATCTTCTCATGTGATATGAAAATAACATGTTTCTTATGAAGTGACTGAGAAAATAGATGGGATAAATTCCTGGCACTTAGTTAAAAGCAGGATACTTGGTAGCTATTACTACTATCTTAGCTATTATTTGTTCTCTCTACCATGCCTCTAACTCTTGATGACCATGTTCTTTTTAAAGGCAGGTGGAAAGAAGATGGGAAATTTACTGGTAGTGACTCAGCATAGAAAATCATTGCTATAGTAAGGAAAATACAATTTAAAAAGAGGTATTTTTCATAAGAATGGAAAGATAAGAGTTAGGTGGCTATATGCACATGTGTTTAAAATCTACAGAAATAGACCGGGCTCGGTGGCTCAGCCTGTAATCCCGCGCTTTGGGAGGCTGAGGTGAGTGGATGACCTGAGCCCGCGGGTTCGAGACCCACCTGGGCAACTTGGCGAGACCTCATCTCTACAATAAATCAAAAGTTAGCCGGGCATGGTAGTGCGTGCCTGTAGTTCCAGCTACTTGGAAGGCTGAGGCAGAGGATCGCCGGAGCCCAGCAGGTCGAGGCTGCGGTGGCCAGGAGCGGCCACTGCACTCCAGTCTGGGCAACAGAGTGAGACTCCAACTCAAAAAATAAAATAAATAAAGAAAATAAAGAAAATAAAATCTACAGAAATAGGTACCTACATAAATATAATTTTAGGTAACCCCAAGATAAATTTGAAAAATGGATAAAGAACTAAATTTGACAAATTCACATTGTAAAAATAATTAAAATGCCAGCGTCTAATTGTATTGCCGGCATCTAGTGAAGTGCCTAGGATGCAAATGTACACCACAAATTTCTGTTGAATGAAGGTGTTGCATTGATCCTTGTATTAAAATTTGTTTAAAATACCATGAAAACTTAAAAGATTTAAATAGCAATATAATACTAAGGAGACTTTTAAGAACTCAGCATTAAAAGCCTATGAGATATTTTTAATTTTACTTATTAAATAAAAGCAGAGGAATAGTATTCATTAGGATAAAGACATTTAAAGTGTTGAAATAGCAAACGTAAAATAAAAACAGTGCAATGGTGGATAAACTAATACCATGGTAATTAGGTAACTAAGACCTAGATGGAATTCCCTTAAAATATTTCCCTACAAAATAAAAGGGGGTACATATCTGTCCCAGAGCAACATATTATTTGAGATCAAGATTATTAGTGTTTACTACTTATTTAACAGTGTGCTGTACTTTGAAACAACCAAAGTGCATACAGTGTTAGCATCCCATAATGCTAACCTTGGAGAACAGAATTAACAACCTGGGTTAAATAAAAGTTGTATTCTGTCATCTGGGATTATTTTGCTTGGAGTATGCTTAAATTCATTAACAATCTAAATTGTATTTTCTTTTGGCATACTTTTAAAAAATAATGTATTACTTTTTAAAGCTAAGTTGGCTAATACTAGTTTATTGGTAAAATACCATTTTCAAAATTAAGAGTAGTGTTGTTTTAGTTATTGCCAATGTAAGGAATGCATGCAGTGAGAATAGGTAACTCTGTAAAAAGAAAACTGATTGGGAACCTTGAATATGCCTAGTAATTTGCTTATATTATCTTGGTTTGCTTAATAATAGAAATTATTCTTTCTTGGAGTTCCAGAAATTCTAGACTATATGTGTGATTTTAATCACTGCTAATGAAAATCTAATGGCTTATAGAAATATGATCACTGTAATCAAAGAAACAAATCTTGGTTTGGTTAAAAATAATGGAAAATAGACACTTTTTATTCAAAAGTGACTCAGCAAAGTCTACTGTTAATGGAGCTGAAATGTACCTTAAATCTAGTCACTAGGAGAGATAAGTCAGGGATCACCATGTTAGGAAAGACAATCCCATTCTCATCCTTGGCTTGTTATTATCAGTTTTTGTTATGTTGTTCCTCTTTTGAGATTTTATCTGACCTCTATTTCTTTATCATCCTTTCCAAGGCTCTCATAATAGAAATGGTGTTGGAGAAAGCTATAGAAATAGTGCCATTGTGTCCAAAGTTTCATTTTCTCCCCCCTTTCTATTAGAATTCTGCAAACAATTAGAATTCCCTTATTATGAGATGACTCTGTGGTCCCTGCTTTAATGAAACAAAACTCTCAGGTTGTGTAATCATTCTTGGTTTTCCTGTTTCCCCATTTTTAAGTGAAGAAATTGTAGTTAAGAGAGTGGCTTGGCTGGGTGCGGTGGTTCAAGCCTGTAATCCCAGCATTTTGGGAGGCCGAGGTGAAAGCACTGCCTGAGCTCAGGGGTTTGAGACCAGCCTGGGCAACCTGGTGAGACCTTGTCTCGACAATATATCAAAAATAAGCCAGGCGTGGTAGTGCACGCCTGTACTTTCAGCTACTTGGAAGACTGAGGTGGAAGGATCACCTGGGCCCAGCAGGCTGAGGCTGTGGTGGCCGTGAGTGTGCCACTGTACTCCAGCCTGGGTGACAGAGTGAGACTCCAACTCAACGAGAACAACAAAAAGAGAGTGGCTGAGTTACTTACATGATAATCATAGTTAACTGCATATAGTATTGTAAAAAATGCATGGTGTCCAGCTGCTTTTAAGTAGGCTGAAAGCCATGTCCACACAATTCTGATGTGATTTTGATATTACCTTCAAGAGATGCTAAGTGACAACTGGATTCTCTAGTTGGGAGCTAGACTTTCAAAATAATTAGATAAATAACTAGTTCCAACAAGCAGTAGGAACTTATGCGTTAGTGAGCAATTAGTATTACATGTATCAAGTAGTTGTGGTGTGTTTATGGCGGTATGTTTGTTTTCTATGCTTTGTTCTTTGTTTGAAATGTTTTACATACCAGTCTTTATTTTGTCATCTAGGGAAAAGCCTTATAAATTCCTCAAATTATACACAAAAGAAAAAAAGGAAAAAAATTGACCATAAGATAATAATCATTTAACAGAGATGTTTATCTATATTATATATTAATAATCTATATCTAAAAATTATACGTATATAAAAATTTTTATACTTAGAGGAAAAAGGCAAAACTATAACAGAAGTAGCCATTTATAGACTTCCATTTTGGAAATAATTGCATGCTAATTAAAACTACATAAGAAAACAGTTAACTTTTGAAGTTTTAAATTCTTAAAGTGGGAAAGGAAAAAGGTCCAAAAGAAATGTATAAGAAATGATGTAAATGAAAACTAGACAACCCTTCTCGCTAACCCCTTCCTCCCAAACGAGCTTGCATATTTTATTAGCTTAGAAAAAAATGTTGAATGGGAAAAATAGTTGATTTCAGTAGATTTAATAAAAACAACTTGACTTTCATGGAATGGAAATACAACCACCCTGAAATATTGATTTTGAAGGGCTTTGCTCAGTCTTTACTTGTGCAGAAACCTGGGAAAGGGATTTTTACTGCCAGAGCTTTAGAATGTTTCAACTCAAGGAGAGGGGAAAATAGTCAAAAATTAACTTGTGTATCATAACATTAGACTGATATCCCTTGTAGGAAACCCTCAAAATAATACAATTCACTCCATCACCTTTTAAGAAATGCTTTAAATGCAAATATTTCACTTATAACTGAATTAAAATGATTCAATACATATCCTATCCTCTGCATTATAATAAACACTGCTGAACATGTATTCGTTTTACACATTTTCTCCCAATTTTTAAAATTTATAAATCAAAACACTAGGAATTATTACCCTCAATTATGGTGCCTATAAAAATTCCCTTTATGAGTCCAGGTTGCATAAGCCATTTCTGTATTTACCAATAACACTTCCTGCTTCTGATAAGGGCAAGCAGGGATCTGCTTGCCAAAAATCACTGCAAAGGTTTTACAGCCACAGACTCTTAACAGATACGAAGAAACCCCCAAGGGAGAGTGTCTTAAAGTCTTTTAGGAAAACTGCCAGGTTTTACCCTAATTTCTTTTTACCTGTAAAGCAGGTGCTTATTTGCATTGCTAGACTAAATCATCTTCTGACTTTCCATAAAAATCACATAGATTTTTCTCTCCAGTCTGAGCTGGGAATAAGCTTATATTGTTGGAGATAAAACTACCATAGACAGTGTTAAGCTGTAACATTCTCCAGATTTTGAAGACTCCTGAGACTAAATGACACATCCAGTTCACGCTTTAGGCACGATTTTAGATTTTTCTTCTATTTTTTGCATTGATTCATGTAGTTCTTTGGTGTGACAAGTACAAAGTTATATTCGTAGTGTAATTTTACAGGTACTAAGATTGAATTTTTTAATTCACTGGTAGTCTTTATTATCTATGTGGAAAAATGTTTTTCTGTAAATATACTAATCACCAAATTATATTTATTTATTTTCTTAATAATCATAGGTGACTGTTTTAGGGTTTTATATATGCCAAATACTTTTCTAAGTCCTTTACACATATTAAGTTATTTAATCTTCATATAATCTCTGTCCTGTATATAATTACTGTATAATAGTCGATACTAATTATTATCTCCAGTATATTGGTTAACACAAAAGTTAAGTAAATTATGCTATAGGTCTTGAATGTTATAGCAAAAATTAAGTTATGTGGCTGTTGAGCTCTCAACTATTATGCTACATTTGTTTACTGTTTATTTCACCAAGTATAATATAAATACTTATGAGGGCAGGGACTTGGTCTTGTTCACAGCTATATCCCCCTGGGACTAGAACAGTGGACTAAATTAGTATCTGTTGAGTGATAAACAAACAAATAAGTAGAATTATTTAAATGTTTTTGTATTATAGAAAAAAATAACAAGTGGTTTTTTAATAGATGAAGATATGTTCTCAAAAAAGTTCACAACCTTTGAAACAGTCTATCATTTTAGTAAAATAGTAGTCTTTGAGGCTAAAACTTATTTTCAGATTCTAGAACTTCTCCCTATGGTTGAAGAGTCATTTTTTCTCCCTTCCATAGCTTATAAATAAAGTGCTACCTACCATTTATGAAGTAACAACTTAGTTTCAGTCATTACTTAATGTGGAGTTTTAAGATTCCCAAATAGAACATAAAAATGCAAAGTATTTTTATTTTATAGTTGCCATACCTTTGAGTGGACTGCTTTATCACCATGTTTAGTTTAGCCCAAGTTATAGGTTAAATGATAATTTTTACCTTTTATTCTACCTGTTTGAGTTGCACTAAACTTTACAAGACCATTCGCTAGTAATTAATCATATTTTCATAGAATTTGTTAAAATGACAAAGTGTTAAGTTCTCCCAAGTGTAAAGCTCTAAATAACCAGTCAAATGATCATATTAAAAATATTAAACCAGGTTCGGTGGCTCAGCCTGTAATCCCGTGCCTTTGGGAGGCTGAGGTGAGTGGACTGGGTTCGAGACCCGCCTGGGCAGCGAGACCTCATCTCTACAATAAAATCAAAAAATTAGCTGGGCGTGGTAGTGCATGCCTGGAATTCCAGCTACTTGGAAGGCTGAGGTGGAAGGATCGCCGGAACCCAGCTGCGGTGGCCGGGAACAGCAACTGCACTCCAGTCTGGGCAACAAAGTGAGACTCCAACTCAAAAAAAAAAAAAAAAAAAAAAAATTAACACATTTTAACAGATTTTTTTTCCCCCTCAAAGTTATTTTGGTGGTGATTTAGAAAATCAAGGAGGCTCTTATTTTAAGGCTTAATTTTTAAGGAGAAGCTTTAAAAATAGGCTATAATGTGGAATTAGGCACTAGAGGAACCTATGGTGTAACCAAAGTGAAAAAGTTTTAGTGTTTCAGGGATTTGGAATCACATTGTCTAGATTTTGATTTCAGACGTACAGGCAACTTTCACTTAGTGAAATGCATCTTTTGTAAAAGGCAGATAACAAAAATATCACCTCCTTCTTAGGGTCTTTATGGAGATTAAATGAAATTGTGTATGTTTGAAACCTGACACAAGAAGATTTTCCTATTGTATTGCTATTGAATGGTTAAGTTAGAGTTAAATAACCATCAGATAATTTGTTAACTAATTAGATTGACACTGTATATAGGGTGAGTGTTCGCGTGTTTTTATATGTATTGTAGTTTGGTTTGGAGGGGCATGTTGTTGATGGCTTCTGTGCAACTGGGATGCCATCATTAACATGTCACAGACCCTCAAAGGATGATTTTCAACCGTGAATTTCATTGTGCAGCTCCAATCTCTCTTTCTTTTAGCTGATTTTCTCCTTTGTCCTCATCAACTAAGGGGCATATTGTTATTGATATCATAGATAGCTTACAACTCTGGAAACAGGAATCTTAGAATATGTATCTTTCCAGGTCTGCCATTAGCTTGGGAAGTCATTGAACTTCTTTTTTTTTTTTTTTGAGTTGAAGCCTCACTCTTGTCACCCAGGCTGGAGTGCAGTGGCACGCTCATGGCCACCCCAGCATTGACTTGCTGGGCTCTGGTGATCTTCTGCCTCAGCCTTCCAGGTAACTGGAATTACGTGCTACCACACCTGGCTAATTTTTATTTATTTATTGTAGAGACAAGGTCTTACCAAGTTACCTGGGCTGGTCTCGAACCCACGGGTTCAGGTAATCCACTTGCCTCAGTCTCACAAAGTGCTGGGATCACAGGCTGAGCCACCGAGCCCAGTCATTGAACTTCTTAGGATATGTATCTTTCCAGGTCTGCCACTAGTTTGGGGAAGTCATTTAAAGTCATTTAAGTCATTCTCTGGTTCCCAATTTGTATGTATAAATAAATAAATAAATAAAATAGGTGGAGTTTGGTTAATATCCAAATGTTCCATCTAGAAGGGAACCCTAGATCATCTTATCAATAGTCATCTGTGCAACTAGAAATCTGTGTTGTATGCATGCATGCATTCATTTATGTGTATCTCCTGAGATTTTAAGCAAAACTTGGTTTTCCTACTTACCAGGCACTGATCACATGTAAGATTAGGTAGTGCTTAAGTACCTGTTTGCGGTAAGATCTTGTATCTGAAGGCTAATAGATATCATGACAGCAAGGTTGGATCATTCCGTGATTACAATTACAGTTCAGTAGAATTCATTATATAAAGTAAATCAAGAAACTTGGGTATTCTATTATAAAGAAATAGAAAAACAGCTGTGTAAGTAGCATCCATAGGTTTGAATCATATCTCATCTCCCTTAGCCAAGCAAAGACCCTCTTGACTCACTACTGCAGTTATAAACATGCTGATGATATAACTTATACATGTGGATGCTTAATCATGTGGCCCACTGTTGGCAAATCTTGGATTTCTCTGTCCTAGGTGTTTTTCTAGGACAAATAGCTTGTGATTCTAAGTCATCCGAGTCTTTTAGTCTTGATCTGCTTTAAAAATAAAGACAGCTATTGAAAAATATATAGTAATCCTCCCTTTCCTTTAATACCAATGTGCCCCTTCAATCTCATGTATATTCTCCTTTGACTGCTGAGAGCAAAGTAAAATGTTCTATTAAAAAACACATAAAAAGCCGGGCTTGGTGGCTCAGCCTGTAATCCCGCGCCTTTGGGAGGCTGAGGTGAGTGGATTGCCTGAGCCTGAGGGTTTGAGACCTGCCTGGGCAGGTGAGACCTCATCTCTACAATAAATCAAAAAATTAGCCAGGCGTGGTAGCACGCACCTGTAGTTCCAGCTACTTGGAAGGCTGAGGCGGAAGGGTCGCCGGAGCCCAGCAGGTCGAGGCTGCGGTGGCCAGGAGCGGCCACTGCACTCCAGTCTGGGCAACAGAGTGAGACTCCAACTCAAAAAAAAAAAAAAAAAAGAAAAACACATAAAAATGCAGAATGTACAGGGTGTGCTACTATAAGAAGGTATTTATATTTAGGATGGGAAAAAGGGGTGTTTATTTTTTGAAGCTAGTATTTGGAGCTAAGCCAAAAATGTGTGCAATATCAGTGATTTATAAATGCTTGCTGACTTGGAGTATATATTCCAAGAATGTGTTGAATTCTTTCTATTTTCCACTAGCTTATGAGGGTTAGAATTATATTACTTCCGTTACCCACCCCCCCAAAGAAGCTACAATTTTTCTATTGGATGAAATTGAAATTTCTCAGCCTGTGATTCAAAACCTTCACAACTCAGCCCCAAATACATATTCAGTTTCACCTCCTACTACTATTCCTTTCTATGCAGCCTACATTCTAGACCCCTGGTGGTTTTCATTACTCCCCAAGGTACCCTGCATTTTCACACCTCTGCCTCTTTTCTCAGGCTGTTCCCTTTGCCCAGGACACCCTTTCTCGTGTCCAATCTGCCTGGTAAACTTCTATTTTTCAGTTTTCAATGGAAATGTTGCCTGTCTTCATAAATCTGTCCACAGTTTTTTCCCCAGCCACAAAGGGTCTCCCTCACCTGTGCTTTCATGTATAGCACACACTGTGCAGCTGGTTTTTGATCTACATTCTCCCACCACTGCTGCCCTCCCTGGAGCAAGGACCACGTTTATGGCATCTAGTACACTGTGGACACTCAATGAAAGCTGGCCAAAGTGAACAAAAATGTGCATGTGGCAAGAAGAAGGGAAATATCCTGATTCAGATACAACGTGTTATCTTTCACTTCATTGTAAATAATTTGGAAAATACAGGAAAAACAAAAAGGAGGAAATGGAATTCGCCCATAATGGTACATATTCTCAGAAGTTGTCATTGTTAACAGTTTAGAATATGTATTTCCATATTATTTTGCTAAAGCATAATTTTACAAGGAGATATGGTTTTTAAAATTAGAACATTACCTATATGACCTAACAGATGATCCTAATCTTGACTTTGCTGTTTCTTTGTTAGCTCACAGAGAGAATAATCATCCTTTTTGTGGTGATCACCAGTCAAGAGGAAGTTCAAGAGAAATATGTGGTGTGTGTTCTATTCATCTTTTGGAATCTATTGGATATGGTTAGGTAAGAAGGCAAAAAAAAAAAAAAAAAACCTCTTAAAACAAGACCAAATTACTTTCTACAATGAAACCAGTAATAGCTGCTTACATTTGGTTACTCTGAATGAGAGAGAAAAACATATCCCCTTTTCAAATTATTTTATCTTGATATGGAAATGTATTTTTAGTGCTTTCCATAATGGGCATATCAAAGATAATGAAAACTTACCATGGTATCACAAGAGCAAATCAGTGCATTCAGGTTTCCACAGAAGGCTTGGCATAACTCCAACTTGGAATAACCCTCACAGCTGTTTGCTAATGAAAGGCATTCCGTACAATTGTTCTAGTACATGTTGCTTTAATAAGAAAAGCAGGACTTTTATTATATCATTTTCATAATTTACAAAGTTAGTTTCTGGGAACCCAAGAATATTTGAAATGTAGGGTGTGTGTCTCTGGAAGAAAATGCTCTTCAATTTCTATTTTTGTATACAATTCCAGTGGACTCAAATAACACTGAAGTCCTCTTGTGGAATCCCTGGAAACCTTTACTCTAGTCTTCAGAGTCCTTCTTAATTCTAAAACTTTGCAATGAGTTGTACCTAGCCTTATTTCTACTAGTAGAGAGTTAAAAAAGAGTATGCCCTTTGTTCAGTGAGCCCTTACAGCTCATTTTAAGGAGGTGTCCGAACGGCTAGGTCAGCTTTCACGAATGAGAACCTTCCCTCCCACTTGAAATATCTGGGTGTGAACAGGCAACAAAAGATTCCGGGTTGTTTTTTTTTTTTTAAGCTGAGGTTATGTAAATTCTTTATTATACTGTTGATCACTTAGCTGGATTAAAATACAGAGGGTGCCAATAAAATGTATACACATTTTAAGAAAGGGAAAAAAATGCATTAGCATTGTAATAATCAGCATACGCTGATAACAAAGATGAATACAAGTCAGGTTTGACTTCTGCCATTACAAGAGGTGCTCAAAGTGGTTGCCATCAGCATCCAGACACTCCTGATCACTGTGAACTACTGCAGGACTTGTTGCTGTGTGAGGCCCTCAGGATCTTCCCTTGTGCACACCACACACAGTACCATGCAGCTCAAATTTACCACAAATACATGCAGTTGTTAGGCATGTTGGAGGTTCTATTGCATAATCACACCTCCATTGTCATACTTCCATAATATTCTCAAATTTCAAATACCACTTCAAAAATGGTCTCGTGTTCCCCAAATGACTACCGTGCTTCTGCTGTTTTCTTTGACTGTCCTGCCTGTTGCATGACACTAGCATTCATTTGATTAACTTCATATTTTGAGTGAACATCATACTACACGTTGCTACCATAATTCAACTTCAAATATTAATACATAGATAACATCTCTTAAAATTTATAGACATTTTTTCAGCACCTCGTATGTCTAAATAATAAGTTGAGTCCTAGAGTGAATGAGAATGAAATATTTTGTTGGATTAAAATGACTATATTTCTTTGTATATATAAACCAGAAATCATTTCTTGTTTTTTAACTGATAGTTTTATAGACTTGGGGCAAACCTCTTGGACTTTTGCAGCCCGTGACTTCCTATTCAAGAGACACTGAAACATCATTTGGGACTGTAGCTTTCCAGTATATTTTTTATTTTGACACTTTCAGTATTGATTCAGTCTCTGGTAAGCTCAATAAAACCATTAGAGAACAAAACAACTTTTGCATTAAAAGTGGTAGCATGCTTTCATGGGAAGACTTTTGGACAGAGGTTGATCTCCCGGATGAAACTCATTTCCACTACTTACTTACTTACTAAATGATCGTGGGCAAATCGCTTAATCTTTTTATTTTAATAACAGCTTTATTGAGACATAATTTCTATGCCAAAACATTTACCCTTTTAAAATATGAAAACTCAAAGAAACGTGCAACCACGATCTAGTCTGAGAATGTTTTTTTCATCACCCTCAAAAGAAACCCCATACACATTCTCAGCCTACACTCCATTTCCTCTTTCCCCAGCCCCTAGCAACAACTCACACGTTGTCTCTATGGATTCGCCTATATTTCATATCATCCAACATGTGACAGTCTTCTTTTACTCAGTATAATGTTGTCTAGGTTGTAGCATGTATACATGTTGTATCATGTATCACTACTTCATTGCTTTTTGTGGCTGAATATATTCTATTGTATCTACATACTACTTTCTGACTATCTGTTTGTCAGTTGATGGACACTTGGGTTGTTTCCAGTTTGGGCCATGAAGAATATTGCTGTGAATATCACGTACAAGCTTTTATGTCCACATGTTTTCATATCCCTTAGGAGTAAGATTCATGAGCATGTAACATTTTGAGTCTTTTTCTTTGTATTTATTTTTCTCTTTGCTTATTTTTTTATTTTAAAAATGTGGGGTACAACTCACAGGTAAAGTTTGGGCATCCCTTTAGTCCCCACTTCAGCTTGTTTGAGATCAGGTACCCTTATTGATGTTATGTGCCCTCCCCCCATCAGTGTCCCGCTACTGCCAATCCCTTTCTTATTGTATTATGGTAAATGCTCAGGGTCCACTTATGAGTGAGAACAGGTGGCATGCAGTTCTTTGTTTCTGTGATAGATCACTGAGTACGATAGACTCTAAATCCATTCAAGTTGCTGCGAAGTCCATAATTTTGTTCTTCTTTATGGCTGAGTAATAGTCCATCATGTATATGTACCACATTTTTTTTAAAATGGGGGTAGAATTATCTTCCCTAGCTATACTGGAATGACTTTTTAAAAAGTAAAGACTAGGGAGATTTATCAACCTGAGAAAGGTATCTATGAAAAAAATCCACAGCTTGCATGATAATTAATGATGAAAGGCTGATGCTTTCCTCCTAAGAGCAGGAACAAGATAAGGAAGTCCACTCTAGCCACTTCTATTCAACATTGTACCAGAAGTTCTACCCATAGTCAAAACAAAAATAAAAAAGATATCAAAGGCATCCAAATTGCAAAGGAAAAAGTGAAATTATCTCTACTGGCAGATAACGTGATCTTACACACAACAATTCATAAGGAATCCACTAAAAATGAAATAACTAATATACAAGGTTAGCAAAATTCTAGAATATAACATCAATATATAAAAATCAATGATATTTTTATACACTTGCAATGAACTATCTTAAAGTTAAGAAAACAATTCTGTTTACATAGCATCTAAAAGAATAAAGTATCTAGAAGTAAATTTAACAAAACATACGCAGGATTTGTACATTGGAAACTACAAAACTGTTGCAAAAATTAAAATTCATACATGGAAAGACATCCCACATGGGTTGAAAATTAATATTGCTAAGATAGCAATACTCCCCAAACTGATCTGTAGATTCAATGGAATCTCTATTAGAATCCCAGCTGACTTCTTTGCAGAAATTGAGAAGCTGATCCTAAAACTCAAGGAACCCAGAATAGCCAAAATAATCTTGAAAAAGAGCATATTTTAGCCTGGCCTGATGGAACATGCCTGTAGTTCTGGCTACTTGGAAGACTGAAGCAGCAGGATCGCCTGAGCTCAGCAGGTCAAGGCGTCGGTGACCGTGAGTGTGCCGCCGCACTCCAGCCTGGGTGACACAGTGAGACACCAACTCAAAAAAAAAAAAAAAAAAAAAAGAAAAAGAGCATATTTGAGGGACTCAATCTTCCTAGTTCAAAACTTACTACAAAGCAACAATAATCAAGAGTGTGGTACTGGCAGAGGGATAAATCATGAAATAGGATTGATAACCCAGAGACAAACTCACATTTTTGGTCTATTAATTTTCGGCAAGAATACCAAGACCATTCAAGGGAAAAGATTACTCTTTTTATACATTCATATGCAAAAGAAAGAAGTTGGATCCTTAACTCATAAAACTATTAATTCTTAGGAGAAAATATAAGGGTAAGTCATGATGATTTTGGATTTGGCAATGAATTCTTAAATATGACACAAAAAAACAGAAGCAACAACACTAAACATTGATATACAGGACGTCAACAAAAGTGCTTCTAAACAGAAAACGAATACCCACTATTCTAATAAAAGAAAATAATTGGATACCATTTTTCACTTAGATTGGTAAAGACAAAAAATTTGATAACATGTCATGTTTAGTGAGGGCCTGCACTGTTGGTATATATTACATATAGTAAGCATACACAGAAATGCATAGACAAAAGCATTTCTGAAAGAATCCATAAGAAATTGGCATTGGAGCTGGGCTCGGTGGCTCAGCCTGTAATCCTGTGCCTTTGGGAGGCTGAGGTGAGTGGATTGCCTGAGCCCGCGGGTTCGAGACCCGCCTGGGCAGTGAGACCTCATCTCTACAATAAATAAAAAAATCAGCCAGGCGTGGTAGCGCATGCCTGTAATTCTGGCTACTTGGAAGGCTGA